TTTTAGCTAGGTTACTACATCGATTCACCCGGAGCCTATGCAACAAAACTTCCTCTTCTCTTGAACGGTTAGTTGAATGCTCCAAAGCCATGCCATTGCAAATTCGTCTGTGTAAGTGATCTTCATCCACTTTTTGCCGGTAATCTTCTAGTGTCACTTCTTCTCTATTCGTCAGAATAAACTCTTTCGTACTGAGATTTTCTGGTTTATCTTGGATCATCTTTCTAGCGGTAACTCTCCAGTCCGGACGAAATCTGCTATCCCCTCTTGCTTTCAGTCTCTGAGGCGGGCCGTCATCTGTCAAAAGATGCAGATGATGATCTATCGGGAACCGGAGGAACTTACTGTACAAAATGGCTGCCTTTTCGTCGCTGTACTGCTTCAACGAAGAAAGCCTTGCCTCAGCGCGAGTAGCGACGGCATTGGAACTTGCTGGCGTGCCACAAATAATTCTTGCTGCTCTGTTGTTGCATGCCTCCAGTTTATTCCAATTCGAGTCCGAGAGAAAAGAACCCCAAACTTCACTGGCGTAAAGTGCTCCTGGCTTGACATAGGCATTATACAATCTTCTAAGGTCAGTGGATGTCAGACCCCAGTTCTTTCCTGACAAACTAGAAAGCAGTTGTGTCCTTTTCCTCATCTTCTTCACCATGATGTTTGTGTGTTCGGAAAACGTCAACTGTGTATCAATGTTGACACCCAGAATCTTGATATGCTTGTTGAAAGGAACTTGTGTGTTCTCCAGAAGAAGAGCTGGCTGTGCTTTGCCTGCCGTCTCTCTCGGGTCCAGGCTGATCACTAACCCCTCAGTCTTCGATGGTTCAATGAGCATATAATGATCACTCGCCCAAGAACTGACGCTTTCCAGAGCTGGTTGCATTCTAGCTGCTGCTGAATCAGGAGAAACATCCTCATTATAAAGCGAGTAATCATCCGCAAATTGGGCACTTTTCGTGTCTGGAGCATTCTGAGCAATCCTTGTAGGCAAACTTGCCGTGGCAAGACAAAAAAGCAAAGGGGACAGAGGTGAGCCTTGGGGAACTCCCTGCTGAATTACCTTATACTTGGAAAGAGAACTGTTCCATCTGACACACGCTCTTCTGTCGCTAAGAAACGACTTGATCCACCGCAGGCAAGTAGGATGAAGGCCAGCTTTCGCTAAGTCTCTAAGAAGACCACCACGCCACACCCTATCAAACGCTCCTTTGAAGTCAACTGCCGTGATCACTGTGCGCTTCTTCATCTGTAGGTTGTCGAATGCCTTTTGGCTGAGATTGGCAAGAACATCTGTTGTGGATCGTTTGGCACGAAATCCTGACTGACAATCTGGAATCATGTGAGTACTCTCGGCCCAATGACGAACGCGGGATTCCATCATAGACTCCAGAACTTTGGCAATACACGGCAACAGAGAAACGGGCCTATAACTCTTTATCTGAGAAGGCGGTTTACCATTCTTCAAAATTGGCACAATGACTGCACGTTTCCAGCAATCTAGAACTTTTCCTAGACGTAAGCTCTCATTGAAGACACGGAGCAGAAACAAGATGCAATTCTCTGGCAAGTGCTTGATCATCTGGGGAACAACTCCATCTGGGCCGGCAGCTCCATTCTTCATCTTCTGTAAAGCTCTTGCTAACTCGTCTTCGGTGAAACTGTCACCCAGCTCACCTTCCGAAGTTTCTTTCAGACTTTCTCTAGTCGCTAGGTAAGCTTCCTTGGAGTCCTCTCTAGTGATCTGGACCTTGCTGGCTGCGGCATACGTTTTCACTGCAAGTTCCGCTTTCGACTTGTCAGTGACAGCGGTCTTGTCGCCTGCACACACTGGATTGTCTGGCAATCCCAATTTCTTCCTGCCATCCATACTTTGAAGCGTGCGCCAGACCTTGGTACTAGGAGTCGCCGGAGACAACGTGTCAACAAACTCCCGCCAACTACGTCGTTTTTCTTCTCTGATGGTATCAGAGCAAACATCTTCTTCGCGTTCTTGTACATTTCCACGTTTTCTTCGCAAGGGCTCCTCCTCAAGAGACTGAAAGCATCATTCATAGACCTCTTCTCGCTCTCACAGAGACTAGACCACCAAGGTTTCCTGTTGCCACCAACCTTAGTGAAGGGAGTTGACTCCTTAGCTGCCTTCTGCATCGTCTCGATCAGGACCTTGTAATTCTTCTCCAGTGACATATCTTCATTCCACTCTGACAAGCTCCTGTGACACACACTGCTGTACTTCTCCCAGTCCGTTTTGTTGAAGTTATACTTGCGTTTTGTCTCTTCTTCTTTCATCCCTGAAGAGCCAATGACCAATTGAATTGGCAAATGATCGGAACCAATGGTCTCCAGCACATCCCAAGAACAACTGCTCGCCACAGAACTGTGCACAATGGTGATGTCGGGTGCCGTTTCCACCATCGCGTGACCCAGCTGCCGAACACGTGTAGGAATGCCACTATTCACATGCGCCATACTGTTGTCAATCAACCAGTCGTCAATTTCTTCTCCCAACTGATCGGAATCTCTGTTCGCATCCCAAGAACCATGCGCATTAACATCCGCACAGATAACAGAACTCTTCTCTCTAGGCCAATGGTTCAAATACAACGCAGCATCTCTCACGTCTGCACCACCAGTAGCAGGAGGACGGTACATATTCCAGAGATTCATCCAGCCATGCTTGGTCTCCACTGAAACTCCCAACGACTCCAAAGCAGCTCCTGTCGGAAGATTCAAACTTTCTAACCTTCGTGACTGGACTCCAGGTCTGACGAGCACCGCCAAACCTCCTTGGGGTTGCTCATTCTGCACCAGATGAACCGTGCGTTCTGCTCTATGGACTTTCCACCCATTAGCACTAGGGTCAGCAGTAGAACTCATCAGCTTCGTCTCTTGCAACAACGCAACATCAATTTTCTTCTCGTCGAGAAACTCGTTGAGACTAGTGACCTTACCTCTCCAACCGTCGATGTTCAGCTGCAAAATCTTCAAACATCTGGGCACTGGAGTCGTCACTCTTGGTCTCCGAGTTTGGGTGGCTGGCTGCAGAACTGCAACTGGAGCAACAGGGACAGTAGGAACTGTAACACACCCACAATGCCACCTGAAATTCTGATGTGCCCTGATCTCTTGGGTCGACATCCCTGCGCAGCGCTGATGTATCCAATTCTTGCAATCCACACAGTAGATAGACCAGACTCTGCTACTAACCGCCTCACCACAGTATCCACAAGGCCATTTCACCGGCCCCGGATTCAGCTCGATATCCCCTGCCAGAATTAGAAGCCACCATAGATCGGGGTCACTATGGTGCTTCAGCAAAAACCCGCACTGGTTTCCATGTGTTTTGGCCAAACACTCTTTGGTATGGGAAATTTGAGATCCTTCTGCAAGGATCCACACCTGCCGCCACGTGAAGGCTTCCCAAATAGCAGGCCTAGAAGAACGGTCAGCTAAAACACCTAACACCCTAGTCACCATTTTAAGTGAGCAGCCAACCGGAGGCCAAAATCGCTTGCAAGAGATGACGTTTCAAATAGCGTTCCACATGCATTTTTAAAACCATATCAGCACGACCTACATCGAAGTGCAGGAACGAACTACATCGAAGTGCTTCAAAGAAAACTTTTTCTAATATTAAAATCCAACAACCACGCCCAACTTAAGATAAAAAGTTATACATTTCGCTCAAATAACTCACTGTTTGCATCAAGTAGCATACATCAATTCCACGTGGAATCATTTCTGAGCCGAATTAATCGCATTTGCTGCGCTCAAAAGAAAATTCAAAAACTTTGCGTGTATTAATTTTACCAAATGGGCCATTTTCAGACCCCCTTAACATGATACCATTCGAAATACATTTTTTCAAAATTTCAGTTCAGGTCACCAATATTCTCAAGATTTAAAAAATCCACCAAAACGCTGAAAAGCATGACAATTTTTCGGCAACTAAAAATGAAAGCCTCAGAAAAAAATCCTATCTATTCTCTTTAAAAAATTTGAAAATGATCTATAAACAAAAATCGTATCTTTTTTTGATTTTGTCTTGAACAAAGCTCCTTTCAAAAAAACATGCCAAGTAATAAAACTGAATGTTAATTTAGCATCGAAAAATCCTAAAAAGCGCTAAAAAAGCCGACAATTCTTGAGCAGACACACGTTGGGCCGAAAAAAAAACTATTTAGAAAATTTAAAAACTCCCGCAGTCAAAACATTACGATCAATTTTTTTGCTGATCAACGACTCAAAAAATAAGCCACTAAGCCGATACAGTGCTGGTTTAAATTATCCAGACAAACCGCATTTAACTTCAACCGCGTATTTCTCGAATTGGATTGACTTCAGGCAAAAAGTGACGAAGACGAAACTTGCGTAGAATTTCAGCAGAATTATTATGGTGCCATTTGTTTTGAAAATTCGAGCCGAAAATTTTACCTGGGTGGTTGGCCCAACAAATTTTAGGAAGGGTATAGTCGCCAAAACATTGTAAAAATAAACAAACGTTCTACTAAATAAAAAGCCAATATTTTATTTAAAAACAATTTTTAAAACGTTTCGCATATATTTTTTTGAAGATTATAGTCTTCTTAAACTTGGTTGGTTCACATAAAGGCTCTTTTTGATATAATTTTGACATTAATGAACTTCGTAGTTTTGGTGTAATTTTTAACCATATGGAAAAAACCATATACTAAAATTGGAGTTGATAAATTTGTTACAACCAAAATAAAAAACGAATTTCGATTACATCGGCCAATTCCAATGCAGACATGCTCAAAATTTGTCTATTAGTTGATAACAGCACAGATGGAGATGACCACCGTAGAGAACTCAATAAGTACACACACACACGTCAAAACAAGGTCAAAGAAGTAGAACATGAGAGTTATGTAGAAAAAAATACGGCCAAACAAAATGACATATTACCTCGTTTCGTAAACCCTATATGAAAATTATTTAAGCAATGCTCGTTTTTTCAAACACCTCAGCTCATTAGACGCCAACGAGTTCAAAAACTGAATTCAAATAAGCTCAACAAATGTAATTTAAAATCATTAATTCACACATTAGCAATTATTCTCCATTAAAAATTACGCTGAAGCTCAAAAAACAATCCTAAGAAAAGGAAACAAACAACAACCAAATAAAATAGATCAAAGTTCAAGATAATTGCAGTTCAAATAGTTTTTGAGCTCTTTGTATAGCTCTTCTTTCTCATCCGATTTGTCTGTCTTATATTTGTAGATAATTTGCCTCAGTCTGTTATGCATTTCGACCACGTCCAAAATTCTCGCACATTCTGAGGCTCTGACTACAGCAACATCCAGCAATGTATTGTTCAGCTTGTCCAACTTAGACGCTATTTCCTCTTTTCGCTTTAGTTCCAAATCAGGAGTTTCAACTGATTTATTTCCAACTTCAGGTGACATTGCAGATAATGTCGAAATTTCAGCATTGCTTTCTTTTACACTATTTTCAGTATTGCCGGGATGTAGAGTTGTCATTTTGGTTTCTTCATTTTCTGATTTCGAGCTGCCACCGGCAACACTGCTCATCATTATTTCATTAAAAAGACTTTCGTTTTCGCGCTCTTCAGATCTCACAATCTCTCCGGTTAAAGATACACTTGAAGAATACGAGCAATTCATTTCTACTTCATTTGCATCCTTTTGTTCGTCTTTTGGAGAAGGATCACTTTCAGCCACTTCGGCATTGGACTCAAGGAGTAGCTTTGTCTGTTCTTTTTCGTTATCAGGTGACAACATCTTATCGTTATAAACAGCATTTCCCTCGTGTGAGCTGCAAGCATCCTCGCTCAATTGTCGATCATTTTCAACCTTTTCAGTTTCTTGAAACTTAGTAGCACTACCAGCCACTGACGGAGAATTCGTTTCTGCAAGCGACAGAGATCTAGCCTCTGTGTCTCCGGAAAGGATAGAAGATATTGAGCGTGTCACTCTGAACATCACTGGACTGACTCTGCTTTTCAATGGACTCACTCTATTATTCTGACCACTGTTGCCACTGCTTCCCGACTTGACAGAATTTACGTATGCCTGCTGTCTTTGTTTGCGGTACTTATTAATGATGCCCTGGGATGAGCTTCTAGACGGTGTCTGGTTCTTCTTCTTCACCACCCCTCCACTTTTCACGCTTTTTGCTGGTGTTAACGGCTCCACTAAATCGCCTTGAGTGCTTCTAAGTTTCATCGCTAATTTCTCCTTTGGTGGCTTCTGAAGGGGCTGCGTAAAGAAAAACTTGGGCGCTTTCGTCTGCGGTTTCAATCCCAAAGCACTAAAGCTTTTCAAACTTTCGCGACACTGCTCTTCGAAATCTGAGTCAATTTCTATTTTAACCATGCTCATTGCGGAGTCTCTAAAAGCACACGCTCTGTGCCTGATTCTCAAGCTCATCGGATCTTTAACTGGGTTGTACTCCAAGGCATTGTCAGCTATCAAATCGATATCTTCAATAAACTGATGGATGCTTACATACTGCCCTGAATCGGTTTTGCTCATCATCGTAGTCAGGTCCATAGGGTGCTTAATGACGTCATAGTAATCATTGACCTCTTCTCGGTCAACTGGTTTCAGAAAACATCGATGCTCGGGGGAGCGAGCAAGTCGATTCAACACATCACGCAAATAGATTCTCAGTTCACGCATAAGGGCTAAGTGCTTTTCTCGGATGCGTTTTATTTCGCTTTCATTCAACGGCGCCGGACCTTCTTTAGGCTGATGTTTTGCTTTTTTAAATTGTTTGACATTCAGGTGCTGTTTTTTCTTGAAGGTACAGTTTTTAATCAAATCGTGGAAGATTTCTGCGAAGTACCGGCGGTAGCAGTCTCTCGTAGGATTTTGACAAATAACTTGAGCACTTTTTGTAACATCTATTTCGAACAATTTTGGCAGTCCATATCCGTCGTAGAAACCGTTCGGCAATGTCGCGAGAACAAGAAAGTTGCCGGGAATAGCTCTTAGTCGCAATATGAACTCCGTGATGATTAAACGCACAGTGGATGATGCTTCCGAGTAAAAAGAGAATGCGTTGGGAATACAGATAACAGCTGACTGCGACTTAGCTGCTTCTTTCAACATGGAAACAACGGCCTCTTCAGCTGATGCATTTGCATTTCCAAAAAGTGTTGAATGATTCAGCATAAAACTTTGCATATCTTCATATTCGTTCAAAATCGCAGGTAATAACAGATTATCAACAAAATTGTCTTCCTCGTTATACCAAATACTGACAATAGCTTTAGAACAGGGTTCAACAAGGTTAGCTAGCGTCTCGAATTTAGCTTCAGCTGCATTTTCAGGCAAAATCAAACCATCCAAAACCACTTCCAGTTCATCTAGAGGGCTAGAGGTCAATGATTTTTTCGATTCATGATAGAATTCGGATTTTATTAATTGAACCATTCGTTGAAGTTCGCTGCCTAGCAATAGAGCCAATGAGGGACTCAGGGGCTGGGCCGGACAATCGGTAATGCGGGTAGTCGACACTTTTATACTGCGCATGGCGTTGAATACATCGACCACTTCAACATTCACACTTGAAATGTCAATTTCAAGCTTATTGTTGGCCAAATAGATCTGTGGATAATTGCGTCTAGTGGCTATTAGAGCTGATTCCATGCAGAGGAGGTTCAAATCTGCTCCTGAGTAGCCGTGCGTTTTTTCAGCTACCAACTTACTGAGTTCCGGAGACATCGGCGGGTTCCACGACTTAGTTGCTATCTTCACAATCTCAACACGTGCTTGGGCGTCTGGTAGTTTGAACAAAAACTCCCGATCAAATCTCCCCGGACGCCTCAAGGCCGGATCAATCGAGTCTATTCTGTTAGTTGCTCCTATAACTATAATTTCTCCTCTATTATCAAGTCCATCCATCAAAGCTAACAATGTGGACACTATACTGCTGTGTATCTGATCCTGTCTACTACTTCTAACGGGTGCTAAGCCGTCAATCTCGTCAAAAAATATTATAGATGGTCGCATAATGTAGGCTTGGTCAAACAGAAGACGCAGCTGTCTTTCCGATTCACCAACCCATTTGCTCAGGCAATCGGCCCCTTTGCGCATAAAAAATGAAATCTTGCGTCCTGTCTCTTTTGAGCATTCATTGGCCAGCGCTCTCGCCATCAACGTTTTTCCGGTTCCCGGTGGTCCGTAAAACAAGCAACCTCTCGGGGGGTTAATACTAAACTTCGAAAACAACTCAGGATAAAGAAATGGAAGCAATACCATTTCTTTCAGCGAACGAATGTGTTTATTCAAACCGCCAATAGATCCAAAAGAAGCTGCTTTATCAATATTCATAGGGTCAACGTCCGCCAGCGAAGCCCCGATTGCTTTACGGTCTCTTTGACTTCGAGTCATGTCGCTGATGCTCAAGTTCATTGGCAAAAAAGACATCCTAGAGCGTGTCATGCTTTTCTTCTTGCGCCGAATGAATCTTCGTTCATCTCCACTTGAGCTGCTGGACGATGAATCACTGTCACTCTCGTGGAACTTTGCCTTTCGTTTCTTCTTACTATGCTTTCTCGCTTTCGAGTTCTCGCGGATACGACTGCTCAAAGTTGACGCAAAGAACTGCGGAACATGCACATTAGAACTCTTCGGCTTCTTGGAGCTCGAGGGACAGAAAAACTGTGGCGCTTTCCGTTCGGCTCTTAAATTATATGTCGGTTTCTCTCTCAATTCTCGGCCATCTCCCATTTCGGTTTCCGTCGAGTTTACATTTAAATCCTCGTCGTCGCATGTTTCAGTAGCAACGCCTGAAAATATACAGTTAAGACGGCGCGTTTGTTGCCTTGTTCGGCCAAGCTCAGCATCTTCGGCTTCTTGTTGCATGCGGAAAGAAATGTTTTCCATAGGTTCTTCTGTTTTTGATCTCTTATTATCTGGTTCATCCTCTTCCACCACCGTAGGAGTCTCCGAGTGTCTTTGATTACAGTGATGGTTCTGTTCGACTGAGAAAAGCGAGTACCCTCTGGGTAACTTATTGCGTCTTGGCCTGCCAATAGTCATGCCTGGCTCACTTCTCCTCGAAGAAACAGAAATAGGTCGAGCTGATTCAGGTGGTTCGTTCTCGGCATCACTCGAAATTCGATAAAGCGGTCTCGACGAACTGGCTCGGATTCGCTTGCGGAAAGTGTCATTCTCCTCGTCGCTCCGTCCGATGTCAAACCTAGAAATACTCACATGAGGAGCCGAGGCAACATCAATTTCAGACTTCACAGAGGATGGCGCTGATTCAGTCAAATTTAGACTACTTAGAGAATGGCGCGTCAACACCATAATTATTTCATTACATTTACCTGAAAACAAATCGGCTCTCAATCATATGAAAAATTGTTGTGATAAAGTTCTATTTTGTTTATTTGGAGAGAAAGCCAGAGGCTCATAGGTAATCGTGGGCTGTTTCATCCAATCATTTAAGCCTCTCACTTACCGATGTTCGTTCATTAAAAAAACACCATGAAGATCTGGAAGCTTTAGTAAGTTACCTCGAGTCTCCAACAAATATTTTATGTATGACTCAGTCCTGGCTAGGTAAGATTGACATCTAAAATAAGTACACTACAGAAGGGTTTCATTCAGTTCTAACTTAGAATACAGGGGAGATTCAACAAGGAGAAAACGTAACTTTAATTGAGCGAGTAACAATGACAATTCCTGAGGCTTTAGCACTACTGGTTGAGTTTAATGGCTTTCGTTTTTTATAATAGTAGCTGTGTATGTTCCACCTAGAGTTGATAAAGTGCGCTTTATCGAAGGGTTTGATTGCGAGTTAGTACTTGGTTAGCAAAAGGTACCCATTATCATAGCGGAAATTTCAATATTGGTTTAACACGGAAAAAATATCACTCAGTTCTATACAAAGACATTAAATTGAGAATGGCTTCAAACTTTTAAGTAGTCAACCAAAAAAGGTTTCTGAAAACGCGTGAAGTAGTCAACCAAAAAAGGTTTCTGAAAACGCGTGAATCCTGTCTAAATCATCTTTTAACTCGCAATGCACCCACTGCTGATATATCTATTCTCAACAAAGAATATTTTCTGATCCTAACTCGTTCTTTTAAATCTTAATTTCAACTCAGCTGTTAGCCAAGGGATACACGTTTCCTCGATAACCAAATCAAATTTCTCTTTTTCTTCTTTTAAAGGAAAAATTAGAGGAATCGAAGCTAACGAGTCATAAAGATATTGATTGCGCATGTAGGCAATTTCAAAAATGTTTATGATTTGCTTTAATTAAATTTGCGCCTCTGCAACATCAGAAATCTTTCCGCAAGAAAAAGCATATTGGTTTCCTAAAAAAATATAAAAGCTATTTGTAGGAGAAACAAAAATTTATAACGCATGGAAGTTCGACAAAATAGAGGCCATAGAAAAGGTGAAGTTCATTCAAGAACGGAATAAAGTGAATATGTTTTTTATCTGCAAAGGACTTATTACTATAAGGAATTTAATAATTGCATTGGAGACTCGAGGCGAGTGTTTAAGTTTATAAATGAGATAACTGGTAAAAAATAATAGGCCGGTAACGGTCATAAATCTGTGAATTTAATGGTTCGAATATTGTTCAACTATCAGCCATTTCAAACGCGTTCAACAATTTTTTTAAGTTCATTAGGACCAATTCTGGCTGATCAAATACCAATATCTCAACCAATCGATAAAACTGTGAGAAATTCGCAATCAGTGTATCTGTTTTCGTGTACGTTTCATGAGGCGATGAAAGCGATAAATAGTCTTAAGCAGAAAAAATCAGATGGTGTTGACAAAATCAGCAATTATTCTCCAGAGTTTCGTTCTATTTTATAGCTCCTAGTCTAGCATATACGATCAACCTGTCATTTGATTTGAGACTTTCCCTCAACTTAAATACGCCAAAATAATACCACTTCATAAAACTGATAGTAGGCTGGATGTAAATAATTACCATCCTAATTCTCTGCTAATCGACCATAGCAAAATTTTCGAAGAGTTAATGTATTCGCGAACATACAATTATTTGGAAAAATTCGGCCTTACTTATAATAAGCAACTCGGTTTTTCTGCAAAATATGAAACTATCGACGCGTTATCTGAGTTAACAAAAAAATAAAGATACGTATCTGGTAAACTATAGCGTTGCGATAAATAATGAAAAATCTGACTAGCTGCCGATTAATCTGCGAGCTCCGCAAGGCTCTGTGTTGGGTCCACTCTTTTCCAATAAATACAATAATGATATGCCTAATGTACAATAAACGTCCGAGGTTCTTTTTGCCCATTATTCCAGTGTAATTGCTTGTAGTTCAAATCTTATTGAGTTTCAGACCAATTTAATGAATATAAATGATTGATTAGTCTCGAACAAACTAACAGACAGGGGCAAAGCGGAGCTTCGCAACACTTGCCATACAAAAACATATTGCGCTACGAAATAGTGAACGAAAAGACAGTCAAAAAATTTCTGAAAAATTATGTTGGAAATTTTTTTAAATAAAATTAACTTGACAAAAATTGTTAAATTACAGCTAGAAATTTCACATTAGTATCGAATTAAGTTCACAAACAAACCTTAAAAAATTGAAATCATTTACCTAGCGGCAACAGAGGCGACAAACTATGAGTCGAAACCTGTTGAGCCGAAAACAACTGTAGTCATAAAAAAAATTCAGAAAACTTAAAATATTTTACGAAATTCAAAAAAAAAAAACTGACTATGTCGATATAACTTAAACTGTTGAAATACTAAAAAACGAAAAAAGAAACTCAAAATCAGACAGGGTAAACTTAAAAAATTGTGAAGTTTCATTTAAAGTAGAAATTGTATGAATTGGGAAAAAATTATGCTCTAAAAAGTACATCAAAAAAACTCTACCAGATAAAAAGTAGCGTTCAAAAAAATCGCATATGATCCGACAAACTACGAAAACCACGAATCCAAAAAAATGGATTTGAACCTGAAATAGATTTGAACTAATTACCATTTAAATGAGAGAAGTGAAAATGAGAGCCTACTTAAGAAAAGAAGACCCACTAGAGATCCTCTAGAAGTGATCCTGTGGACAAAGTTGTTAAGGCGAAAAAAAGTGTGGTACCCGGGTGCAATACCCCTGCTTATCGCAAAGGTAACTAAGTAAAGATGAAACAACGTTGAATAATTTTTAAAAAATACTGAAGCTTCCAATCTGCATGTTGCTCTAGGTAATATCGTTTTCGGTCCTAAAGAGTTGTGTTAGTAATTAGGGATTATTGTAGACAAAAAACTAACCTTCACAAGTCATAATGCAAAAAATAAAATCTAAACTTGGTCGAACTGCGGTGATATCACTGAAATTTGATATTTGTACCCAGAGCAGTTAGGATTAAATATAACAATGCCAACGTTCAACCATTTAAACAAACAGATGCGAAGCTGCGCTTCGCAAACACTTGAGAGAACACGACCAAAAATCAACTTGATCAAGTTCCATAAGAAAAAGAAGAAATAAGACTCGAATTAGGAAAAACTTAGCTACGTGTAGGATTCGATTCTACGACCTGCTGCAATCAAGAGATTTTAAGACTCACGCACTATCCCTTCAGCCACTCAAGCTTAACCGACAAAAACTAGTCACGAATAAAGCAGCTACATATGCTAACAAATGCGATTCACCACCAAATAAAAATAGACTCGATTTTGCAATCAATAATTTAGAATATAAAAAAGCAAAGTGACGGCATCCACAATAAGTATGCATGTTACAAATCGCAAAAAAAGCCACTACTGTAATTTTGTTTGAAACAAATAGCTTTTTTCGGTTCATTTAATGAATTAAAAATGCATCAACTGTTTTAATTTATTACTATTCGAATGCCAAAGCACATTCTATCAAAAAGCTGTAAAGGGGCCCACAATTATTGGGGTGCCGCACCAATATTGCGACTAATTTTCGAAAAAAGAAGGTTCGTACTATTACATTAGCTTTAAAAATGCATCAACTGTTTTAATTTATTACTATTCGAATGCCAAAGCACATTCTATCAAAAAGCTGTAAAGGCGCCCACAATTATTGGGGTGCCGCACCAATATTGCGACTAATTTTCGAAAAAAGAAGGTTCGTACTATTACATTAGCTTTGACAGTGTAAATACTGTTTAATTTATGGTTGTACGTCTTTCTTGAATTTGAAAGCAATTTTTCTAATGCAAAGAAACTGATCAAAATGATTTATTTCAGGCGTAAGTTTGACACTATTTCAGATGACTTCCGAAATGACAAAATTTTGTCGGTAGATGAACTATATTTTATGTATACGATCTACTTAAATTTTGTCTTCAATCAGTGAACAAATAATTTTTTTGAATCAAATTTTGCAGAAAGTGATTTTGCTTATAATACTCGTAGATCATCACTCCAAGCTTCCAAAAAACCTGCATGCTTCACAAAAATCAAATCTACACATCCTAGCAAAACGTAGAGCAAAAACTCTTAACGTTTTATGCGAAAATCGTTTACCAGATATTTTTTTTTGTACAAAATAAACAGCCAGCAAATTTATGTGCACAAATTAAAAAAACAATAAGCTTCTAGGAAACTCAGAACTTACCCGCTTTTTAAAATAATTTAATTTTATTATTATTATTTTAACCCGTATTTGGATGCTGTAGGGTACTATACGTAGGATTGTCTATCCTGAAAAATTGCCTTCTGAATCATTTTAGTTTTCGAGATATCGTCGTTTTTATGATTTTTTTGAAAATTTTCTTTCATCTAAGGAAGCTTAGATTTGGATAGATATGTTTGTAGTTTGTGATAGTTAGGTTTTGTAGTTGCATTGGGCGTCTAATATCTGGAAAAAAATAAGGAAGAAAAAAAACTAACTATTTAAAAAAAAGCGTTTAAAAAATAAGGGTAAGCATTAAGTGGGCACCTTAGCCTGCCTTTAGCTTTTCCTCTCTATATTGCTCTGTTGATTATAATTGAAGATAATGAAATAAAAATATCGATTTAAATTTGTTTAATTTATTTTGATGCATCATATTATGTATTCAGAAGAAATAAATTCTTCTTCTTCTTTAAAAGTATTGACGTGGTTAAACCTGCACAATTTATGTGATTTAACAAATGCACATTCAAAAACTTATTAAGCTTATGAATGCATTTTGAATTTCGCTCCGATATTCTAGAGTTGGTCGGTCGAAAACGAGCGTTGTAAAATAGAACAAGACATTGTGAGTGGAGTGGCTCCATTTAATTCCGCTCTCCCTCTGCTCTATTTTCTAAAATCTGCCCCAGTGACAAGAGAATTGTGGCAAATGAGTAGTTTTATGGTACTA